TGTATATAAGCGCGGCAAATAAAGCGAGATAATTAATTGGATTGCAGATAGAGAGATTGGAGATATAGACACAGATAATCGAGTCAAGTGAGCGGTAGTGACCTTAAGAAAGTGCGTGAATCGTTGTGAATTATAGCGTGTGTTTAAGTTAAAGTGACTGTGGAAATTAAGTGTTTTACAAAGTTTGTAACGAGAAAGAATAAACTAGTTTTAATTAAGAAAGGACTTGCTGAAGTTCTCGGAAAGAATTTTTAAGGGAAATTAACAAACGACCAGAGACTTAACAATATATACACCTGCAAATTGCATAAAAACAACATCAAAATACATTAAGAGCATGATTTTAATAACCAATAAGAAAAATGCTGAGTATTTTTATGAATAAGCCACCAGACGAATATTTATTGCATATGTTAACAAGCACTACACAAATAATTTTCAATAGTTTAGAGCAGTGATTCCCAAACTCTTTTAGTCTGAGGCTCCCTTGACGTGAATTTGAGGCCCCCAACCTATAACTTTAGCATGGTGATTGAAAAACAGTGCTGTAATAAAAATAATAGCATTTCCTTTCGACATACTGTATCATTTAATTAATTCAACATAATTTTTACCGGCTTCTTGTTTATTTAGAATTAAAATTAATTCAGCATCTTTGTTTTCGACCCATTTTTGGCGGGCCTCCAGGTGGGCCGCAGCTCCCACTTTGGGAAACACTGGTTTATAGGAATTGTTAGCTTTGTACAAATATATACTTAACGTTTTTTTGTGTAACCGGTGCAAGTTCATTAAGAGGGCGCTACTTCATTTCAGGAACGAATATCTTAGTGTTCTGTATTACTATTAGTGTAAGCTTAATCAAATACTTAATTTATCTTCTAAAGCTTATTGTTATACAAAGATTATGAAGAAAATGAGTGAACGCATTGTATTACAACACTAACACACTTATATGCATATGTAATTTAAGATGCACAGTTTAGGGACAGGCTATAAGCCTCTCGTGTAGGCTGTACTCTAGTAGTAGTACATTACACAGGCCTACACTGTACTGAAGGTTACAGTATAGAATACACTTACTTCAGTTGTTATTACTAATGTTAATATTTTCATCTTAGGATGTGTTAATGACTAAAAATTGCAATTGATTAATTAACTACATAAATATTGTATATAACATCAGTACTATTAATATTATACTAGGCTTGGCTGGGTGACCTAATGATACTGATACAGTGATAGTGGAACTGAGCTATTTAGTATTTTTAATTTTATCAGCTATGGCAGTTAGCGTAAACGTTGAAACATTTTAAAACATTCATAATTTGTTTTGCTAATAGTACCTGCAAACAAATCGATGGTACTGAATATAGTAACTTAACCTGTTTGTGTTACTCAGTGTTAATATTATTCAACCATTAGAAAATTTTAACGAAAATTTATTTGGCATAACAAGAATGTCTGTGTTTCACAACATGGAATAACTGGTAGTTATTAATGCATAAGTATTTAACAGAAAAAGTTAAGTTCCAGCTCACATTACAGTTGAAAATATCAGAGACTAAATGGGTAACTACAAATAAATTAGAAAAAACAACATTAGAATATATATTTGACTGCTGTAAAGTTTGTAACCCATAAGTAAATTTGTTACTGTTTGTTTTTTATTAATACATGTTAAGTACTGTTGATTTCTAAAGAAGTTTATTTCACAGACACAAAAATGAACTTAAAATTTCAAAAGTTAATAAGTGAAATTTTAATATGTTCATATCACTTATATATATATATATATATATATATATATAT